AACCAAGTTACTTTTCATTAAGTACTTGTTAAGTTATAAGGCAAGATCGAGACTGATCCGGCCGATTAAGGCAAGATCGGGACTGATTCGGTCGGTTAATACAAGATCGCGCGGGACTGATCCAGATGATCCGATCTATGTCAGAATCTAGTTTTCGTGTGAAAGGATTATGATCTTAATAAATATCTGTCCTTTATTATCCACACATAATTGAATTCGACGTTCAAAATTGTCAACTGTCGATAAAAATACATTTCTTGGAATGCTACTTGGAATGATAGGTAAGAGTTATATGCTCCATCAAATTCTCTCTTGTTGTGGGTGTTTTTGAATATACAATGTTCTTCAAGTATCCCCATAAAAAGAAATCTGGACTTGACAAGTCTGAAAATGTAGGACACCATGACACTGATCCACCGTGTCCTATTCATCTACCTAGGGATGTGAGATCTAAATGGTATTTAACTTTTCTACTCTAGTGCGCAGGCGCACCGTCCTGTTGAAAGAACATACGTTGTCTTGTATCCATATCGATATCTTCAAGCAATACTGGCAATCTTTGTTGTAGAAAATGTAAATAATTATTACTATTAACATTTTTATCAAAGAAATAAGGGCCGATAAGGTTTCCGTTTAATATGCCACATTATACAATGAGGCTCCAGCGATGTTGATGGTTAACTTCTCGATACCAATATGATATCCAACCAATTTTCAACAGACTAATAGTGAGATTGTGCCGATTTAATTGTCCAGTGTTGTGAAAAATTACTTCGTCACTAAATAAAACAAATCTGAAAAATATTCGATCACGATTTAACATTATTTATGTCCACTTACAAAATTCTAGTCTTTGTTGAAAATCATTGAGTGTTAATTGTTGTGTCAGAGAGATATGATAAGGATGGAAGTTATGAGTGATCAAGGTTTTGTGACTTGCTGATTTCGGAATACCTAATTCTCTTTCAATTTGCCTCGTTGACACGCGTGGATTAATAGCTATCATTCCCAATATGGCAAGTACTGTTAGATCATCCCTTTCTGGTACGTTAATATGACGTCTTTGTTGTTTTTGACGTTGCCGTTGACGCAATACAAGCCTGGAAATCCGTACGATGATTTGGATGTCGTCTATGAGGAAATCGATTACGGTACAATACCGCTGCTTGTCGATAATTATTGTGGCATTTTCCAAGTAGTACCAGAATAATATCAACAATTTCGTTCGAAGTATAATCTGATATTTTGCGTACATTAAGTTACAAGATAAAGTAAGAGCCGATAGATTTATTATTCTGGTTGATATTGGGCGACTATATAAGACAAATTTAAGTATTTACGGATCATTTTTTGCCATCAGTCATCATGGATCAGTCCCGGTTGGATGGACCGATTAAGGCAAAAAATATTGCGTCAGTACAAAGGAATTGAGCAATCCTTTTTGAGGTGATTACTCTGCTGATGAGATATCAGTCTCAAATTCTCGAGAACTCGTGGGAGAAAAATTGCATAAGAAGATAAATTTATAAAAAAAATATGATTACTACAAGGATGAGAATATGCAAAGGAGCGCACTGTCGGCTGAGTGTGTTGAGTTAACTAACTGAGTTATTATGATGGATAAGTGCTCTAGGAAAAAAAGACGGTTAAGCAACTCACTTGGGATCTACGATTAGTAATTAAATTATTCAAATTGCTCGTAACCCTAATTTTACGTAATCTCATATTTGGATTAGAAATACATCATCAAGATGATGACGTCAGAGGAATAGTATCAGTTAAAAAGCTTACAGACTGACTTAAGGAAGTATGAATGTCAGTTATGAAAAGACATCTCGAGTCTTCCAAACACAGTTTTATCATCGAACATTAATATTGTAGTAATTAAACAGTTAGACAACGATAAGCGCATCAAGTAACCAGTAATAAAAATCAGAAATTGATAATTTCGAAACAAGTATGTTTAATTTGAAACCATTGTTACAGACCACTGATTTTGAACAGTCAAATTGAAATCAGAGTTGTAATTCAAACTTTTCCACAAGGCATATTCGAGTTAACAACTACAATTCTACTATCCTAGTTTTTTAATTTTATATCTACAAATTTTTAGATTATATTTTATATTTATATTTAGATTATATTTTAGATTATGTATGTAGAAATGGTTATTTAAATGATAATCCACTATATTGCAACTTTCAAGCCTTATAACTTAACAAGTATTTAATGAAAAGTAACTTAGTTATAGTGTTTTGGAAAGCTCTCAAATGAGCTAAAAATATATGATGAAAAATAGAGAGTTCCATTAAAAAAATTGAAAATGACCTTCAGAGGATTATACAAGGTGAAATCAATGGTACCGTCTTATGTCTCCCTTCAAGCCAAACAACTTTTGTCTTAAACATTTTTGTCTAGTGGGCTTCGAGATATTGGGCTGGATTATTTAAAATGGGACATCCTCTATAATCAGTTTGATTAATTCGGTATCAAACTTGGGAATTTATTATCTGATTTTTCTTTAAAATAGTATGGATATGTACCTTATAAACAATGGAAAAATCGGACCGTGAGTGAACCGTGAGTGGAACGTGAGTGAATCGATAATACGATATGAGCCTAAGACCGCATCTATAATCAATCGGGGGATGTTTTATGTGTCGTACACATGCGCGCAATCTTGATTTTTATATGTCGGCTGTCATTTATGAGATTGTGATTGGTACGTACGACATACGTGCGACATATGACAACGTCTTCCGACTGTACCGATTGTAAATGCGGCCTAATAAGCATGCGATCGAAGAAACAGAGATACAAGAGAGTTTCAAACACTAATCTTTTTATTAACTGCACAAATTGAAAAATCCGTCTGCATAATGAAAATACTTATAACAACGAAGGCCGGAAGCAACAGTTTCATATAAAATTCAAAGAAAAATTTAACAATTATAGTTTTATTGTAATAACATTACTTTACGTATGAAACAGACAAGGATAGTACAATTGTGTCTGTCTGCAGCTCTATCGATCACGATTATGCGGAACTAATTTATTGTTCTGTTTTATCCCGAAGTGTAGCAAACACAATTCCGTATGCAATACATCTTTCTTCAATTAAAAATCATTTTACACTGACTTCTAAACACATTTCTTTTACTTTAATATTATTTTTTCATATTAGAGCTAATCCGGAAGCAAAAGCATGGATAAACTGCAGAACTTTTATAATTAATAAGTAAAATTATAAGCTGACGCAGAACATGATAACGAAACTGTAATTTTTTAAATATTTCATTGAATTTTATATAAAACTTTGTCTTTCGAACTTCGTTATTATAAGTACTTTAATTGTGCAAAATTTTTCAATCTGTGCAGCTAATAAAAAGACTAGTATTTGAAAAGATTTAAATCAATGTGTCGGTAAAACAGACGACTCCAGGATTCCTCTAATTATCCAGTGATATGGTAGCGGTAACAGCGGGTTGGTCGTGAACGCGTACTAAGGTGGTTTAATACCTTGGCTTTGTTTCCTTCTGTGGCTGCTTTTTGCAGTTGTTCTTACATTTTGACTGTTGGTTGAGACACGGCAAATCACGTGCATGGAACGTGGGATACCCGACACATCGTTACCTTTTTGCAACAACCAACTTGCAAAACAAAGAATCTCCAGTATCTAAACTTTATACGATAACTGCGAGTAGCCGGGAAAGCTATCATCTGGGAGAAAGAATGTAGGTGATGAGCAGTGTCCATAGATCTTCTTCCCAGTCATGGTCTCTCGATGTTCACTTGTCTTGATCTTTCTGGCCGGCACCGGGAGCACGGAAACACTATCTAAGGGACGCGTGGACCAGTGTTTTTGACGCTAATTTTCCATCAATAAAACGATACGTCGCACGCAACCCGTGATATCCTGGCTCGACTTTCTCGAGGTGCCATCACCCATTGTGACAGGCGCTCTCAGGGCTATCATGTCACAAGCTGCACGCGTTTTCAATTCCATTTCGGAAAACTATAAGCTTAGAAGGTGTAACGTAACATATTTTAAGGAAAAGAAACTATAATTTCTGCTTAGAAAGTGATCCCTGCTTCTTTTAGCGTCTTATCTCCTTATGTTCGCTTGTCGCTTGCTCTTTCTTCATTCTCGCCACTTCCTGCACATACCAGTGTTGTAGACATCTCTTTGTATTCCTCCTGTGTATTCTGCTTAGAGAATCACTGATTGCGTTCAACAGAAAAAAACTGTTTAATAAGCGTTTAGTGATTATCGTTCCTGATTCATTTTTCTGGATCCATTAAAGTTCTAGAAGAATACTTCAATCATATATAATAATCGCTAAGCGCTTAGTAAGCGGCTTTTTCTACTAATCGCGGCCACTGTTTTAGATGACGATACGCTTTTGCTCAGACATGCACTCGCACCGGTGCTGTAATATCAGAAGATTTTTTTACAATAAAAGCTCTTCTGCGTTTGCGTGAAGTGACGTAGCATTTCGACGTAAGCAATAATCAATGACAGTTGTAAGCGCAACATAATGGTTCTTAGGGGAATCTGTGTAAAATATCCGGTCGTTTGTCCATTGCTATTTGTCTTTACTTAGCTACAAATATTACAAAATAAAATAATATTAGTAACAGTTACATAGTAATACAGTACATAGTAATAGCTACAAAATAAAATAATATTAGTAAATATTAGTAAATAAATTATTAGTATTCATAAATGGCATTCTGTTTCTTTCACAGAAACTTTTCCTTCTTCCTACAATTCCTTCATATTTTCTTTCATCTCTTTTCGAAGGATTTTATAATGCCTTGAAATAGTCATTGAGACTACCACAGCGTTTGCTTAATGTGCACGCGAGAAAATATCTCCTGATCCTCTAGCATTAACTCGCACACGCAATATCTCGCGGAATATTTAATAAAATAATTTCTCACAAATAAAAAAGAAGTCCTACAGATTACTAGAAGATTTCTTGTTATTTGTTTTTAAG